GCAAGAAACTGATTAGGCAGAGCACGCCCCTAAATACGAGGCCTGCCTCGCCGTACACGCTACAGGCTCCGGTGGAGGCGGACGGGCTATCGTGGCCAAGTGCTGGGGCACGTGTGCGTGTTGAGGAGAGTGCGGACGAAGAGGCAGAGCGCGCGGGTCGGATCGCCGCAGCGGTCAAGACGATCCTGACGGAGCTGGGCGAAGACGTGACGCGGGAGGGCCTGCTGGATACCCCGCAGCGGTACGCCAAGGCCATGTTGTACTTTACCAAGGGCTACCAGGACAATATTTTGAATGATGTGATCAACAACGCTGTGTTTGACGAGGACCATGACGAGATGGTGATTGTGCGTGACATCGAGATCCATTCGCTGTGCGAGCACCACCTGGTGCCCTTCTTTGGCAAGGTGCATATCGGCTACATACCTCGGAGGAGGGTTCTGGGGTTGTCCAAGCTTGCCAGGTTGGCGGAGATGTACGCGCGCAGGTTGCAGGTGCAGGAGCGGCTGACGAAGCAAATTGCCATGGCATTGCAGGACATATTGAAGCCTAGAGGTGTAGCTGTTGTGGTGGAGGCCACGCACATGTGCATGGTATCGCGGGGGATCCAGAAGTCTGGGTCCTCAACTGTGACCTCGTGTATGTTGGGCTGCTTCAGAGACATGCACAAGACGAGAGAAGAATTCCTAAACCTCTTGAGAAATAGAAGTGTATAGCCAGTGCAGCGTCATAATGAGTGAAGGACATGTACTTTTTTATTTGTTTTCAATTAACGGCTATCGGTTGGCTCAGCACCGGACACCAGTCGCCTAGCTGTGCTGCTGTTGTCCGCGGCTGGAGCCAGCCTGGCCAAGCACATAGGTTTCCTTATAGTCTGTAATTCGATGCGCCGTTGGTGCTAGCGAAGCTAGTCATCCAGCAGCAGGAAAGTCTATACTGTTTCTATATAACTTTGTAACATATCCTCAACATGGGTAGAATATACGCCCAGATCGGGCTGAAAGGTTCCTTGAGCGTTATGGCATGAGAGTCACTCGTCATCGTCCCCAAAGTGGAACTGGGGCACCCTATGTCGGTCAGTATCCGCCCCATTGCTAGAGAGAAGCTTGCTCCGCTGTCCTTTGGCAGAGTAACTTCTCATGGTAGTGGTAGCAGTATCAATGACGCTTTGGCCTGAGCTCCTGCGCGAAAGGACCGGTGTATTGAGGTTAGATTTACTTTCAGGTGTTACACTGAAGCAGCCATTCATTAGACTCCCCGTTGGAGGCGCGGGTTCAAGGACAAACGTAGAGTTCTTCTTGTTAGCATTAGGCGCGTTTGCTTGGGCAACAAAGCGCATAGGCTCTAGTGATGTGAGGGAGAGAGTCTTCCGTAATGTATCGCGCAACTTATCCAAATTGCGCTCACGTGAACCAACGCGTGGCACAGGGCGCTCGTTGATAACCGGTACGCCGGACGAGATAAATGGTGCCCTTGATGGCGGCGCCAAATGGTGCAGGGAGTTCGAGGACCTAGATCTCTCTAGAAGCGGAATAGAAGCAAAGTCATTGGCCGCAGCAGATTGGAAGTATTCCCGCATGAATGCGTGGCCCATAAGCTCGTTGGCGCGTGGACGAATCTTATCATCCATTGTGAAACAACGCTGCATGAAGTTCCAGCAGCTCTTATAGCTCTCATTGGCGTTGGCACGCGCTTCCTCGTCAACATAGTAGTCTCCCTTCAAGATGCAGTCGCTAGTTTCAGCATCGTCTTCACAATCGAACGGCATATAGCCACTCATCATGAAGTAGCAGAGGACACCAAGAGCCCATATGTCAACAGCAGCCCCGTATTCTGGGATTCTTTCTGCCTCCGCTGGAGTCATCGTCTTCATATCTTTGCAGCGGACCAGTTCCGGCGCAAGGTATGAGAGCGTACCGACATACTCTTTCAGAGAGGAATGATCCTCTTTGCCCACTGCAAGACCAAAGTCTGCGATGATCAAGTCATGCGCACGCACGTCGTATTTGGCGTCGCTGGGCGGCAAAGTTTCACGGAGACGGAAGAGAATGTTCTCTGCCTTAATGTCCCGATGAATCACGCCGCTCTGGTGTAAAAAGTCTAGCGCGCTCAACAAACACGCAATATACGGCTTCACCTGTGTGTCGATATCCAACGATCCCGAGTTGATGATACGGTCATAGAGGTCACTCTGCTCACAGAGCTGCGTCACTAACACAATGTTGTCTTTCGTCTCAAAGTAGTCGAAGAGCTGTAACACGTGATGGTGTCCGTCGAACGTGCCCTGTCTCTCCACACCCTTCTCGTGCTCGCCACGCCCGCTCTCGAGATGGTGTGTACGTGTGCGCACGTGCTTCAGCACCATAACTTCCCGTTGTATCAACTGCAGCCTTCCGCGTACTAGCCGTTTGGGAATCAATTTCATCGCATACCGCACTTTCGTCTGCAAATTCATGCACTCCTTAACAACGCTGAAGTTACCATCTCCAAGCTTACTTGTAGTCGTGACATATTTGCAGTTGCTCGTAGGCACACCCAGGATGGTGCTGTCGCATGCTGGCCAAGTACCTGCGTTATTCATCAGGCCTGAAGGGACCATGAACTCACCAGCCTGCGACATTCACTTGCGTTTTTAACGTGGCAATTTGTGTTTAAATAACGTTACACCGTCTAGACCCCTGTCAGTTCCCAAAGAGTTCCGGGAACTACAGCTTCCAGTTAGCACCAAGGGAGTTAGGAGATGCCTAACTTACGTATTGCCCCACATGAAATATAGTTCATCTCCTTTCGTTCGCCGCGACACCCAACTTCGCAAACTATCACGTGATTTATTGTCGTGGAAAAGGACCTCGCTCAGGTAATCAGCGTCAGTGGTGATAACCATCACGATGACCCTCATAGTACTCCAGTGATGGATGTAAATCCTAATGCGAAGAAGAGACCCTTATCTGAGAATGCGGTACCGGAAGAGGGTCCATCGAGCAAGCGTTTAAGGGAAGCGGTAGCGCTCTTTGTGCTGCTGATTGAGGACTATTTAAGAGCTGGCGACAGCCAGGTCTGAACTATGTAGAAATGGAAGAACTAAGGGTTACGACACGCAGTATTACCGCAGTAACCCGCAGGACGATCCTAGTACAACTAGTATTAGTAGCTAAACATCCTTTTGATTATTACGATCACATAAGCCTTCCGCGGGGGACCCATACACCCTTACACCGCGTCTACGACATTTATAGGGACATCGGTGTGGTGTATGGGTTATTACGTGCTTACGTTATCAAGGTCAGTAGAGAGCTCTCAGTTTCGAGCAGTTATCGTTGCAAGTCTTGACTGGACACGGTGCGCAAATTGGCATTCCGGAAGAAATACTCCGGCACATCGTGACAACTACCAACTCTCAAACGGGTAAACTCAGACGGCCCAGTACAATACTGGAGAGCTACTCGTTGCACGTTTTGGCTTGGAGTTCAATAATCTGCACAGTCATACTTTTGAAGTCGCTACAGTTTCTATCATTATTACTACTTGATATCTCAGAGGCGCAGCTGTAGGTAATGGTGTTGGTTTAACGTTGTAAAACTAGTTTCAGTCATTTTATACGATACATGATTCCGTCATCAGCATTGACGTTTTCTTAAAACGTGGGGACGACACACGGCATGATCACTAACTTCAGCACTTGGTCGCTTGTCGTGCAGCCAAGATATCAGCTTGAACAGGTTGCATCTCCTCCTATGAGTTATTTATTTATGAGCACATATTCGGACATTTTCTTCAAAGTTATAAACGATTAAGGGTGGAACCGGCACGTTACCTAGAAACTAAACACCTACATAGTCAGGCAGGATTTACCACCAGAGTGGGACGGGAACTAGACATAAGTTTGGAATACATACTCAAATCCTCTACGTAGTTCAGAGTATTCTGCCTCAAGTTTGCTTCTTACAAGTGGTGTAATAAAAATGGGTTTCAACTAAATCACGCCAGCTAATCCCTTCTCGCACAAGCGTGACAGTTGGCGCAGCGGGGAATACCCTTGTACTCTGCGCTGTCTACCGAGTGTGGGTCAGTGGTCGATCTAACACATCCCACATAACGTCCAGTGTCCACCGCCATACAGATATTGTTTTGTGTTGGAACGAAAACGTAGGCATATGGAGTTCCAGCACAGTCATCGTTTTCGAAGAACCAAAAAGTAATTGGCTGTATCTCTGTCTTAACCCACATAGAATGTCTGGTGCTAAAGCCAAACTATCCGCCAGGTTGAATCTCATGTCCGGAGCTGCCATCACAGCAGGCACCATCTGCAGATTTTATACTATGAGCTAGTATGCAAGGTAAAACTGCGAAGGTGCTTAAGATATTGAGGAATTTCATCTTTTTGAAGGGATAGGTCAGGTTCGGGGAGTTTGAATTATTAAACAATTGGGATATAGGTCATTCGATCGGACGAGTCTGTTGGTGTCTCTGGCCTGGCTTTATATACTTGGTGCCAGAGGAAAGATGGACTAATGTTTGTATCCAGTGCTAAGCCCAAGTTTCATAACCAGCGAATACTAATGGAGCGTACCACTCCGCGTAACCTTTTCGGAGTGAATAGCCGTTGGAGTATAAGCGCGTTTGTGAAAAGTGCCTTCGTACTGGTCACTCTGCTACTTTACTACATGCAGCCTTAGCATCTGAATACTGCGCCTCTGTAGCAGCCTTTCGCTTCAATAGCAGATCGAACAATCTCTAGCGCTGCTACGCTGCCTGAGAACAGTCCGGGAATCTCTAACGCGGCTATTCCTTTTTGGGAGCAGTGTACTGTAGCATTGGCGCATTTTTCAACTGCGAAAACGCATAGCCGCGGGTAGAATAGTGTTCCTGGGGTTTCAGTTTGTTTGTTGTTGAATTTGTAGTGTTGTATCGAGTTAGGCATCTACGTTACCTCAGTATTCTTCTCTATCGAGGTGCTCAATTATCGAGGATCATACAATACATCAATAAAAAACAACGAAGCTTCTATATCCAGACTGGTAAGGCCTTACACTAGTATTTTGCAGTCTAGCAGTTTGAGGTGGCTGGAAAAATTCGGAGGATTCGAAAAGCAGAGGGAAAAGAAGTTGCATGATACGCGGTATTACTGCCGTATCGAGCCAAGGTTATTCCAGTTGACTATTATTCCAGTTGTATTCCTTTTAGTCGAGATCACGTGCTAATTCCCAGGCTATAGCCTGCATCTGTGCACCTCATAAATTATAGGGTCACGTAATCACGGGACCAAAAAAGAAATTCTGACTGTATGGAAAATTTTGCGAGATGAGATGAGCTAGTAGATACAAGTCGTTAGCAGGACAGCTAGTCAGAATATCAACCAAATGGGCGCTCAAGAGACCAGGGAGGATTCTAGTGGCTCTTCCAAGAAGCGGCAAAGGTCCGAGCCAGAAGTTTCCGCTGAGGCGGACTCTTCGGCGAGCTCCACCGCGCACGCTGAGAAGTTCGATGAGCTGAACCTGTCTAGCCAGACGCTGAAAGCCATCGGGAAGATGGGTTTCACCAAGATGACGCAAGTTCAGGCGAGAACCATTCCACCTCTTCTGGCAGGCAGGGACGTTCTGGGAGCAGCTAAGACAGGGTCCGGTAAGACCTTGGCGTTCTTGCTTCCTGCGATTGAGATGTTGCACTCCTTGAAGTTCAAACCGAGAAACGGAACGGGTGTGATTGTTATCACCCCCACGAGAGAGTTGGCACTGCAGATTTTTGGCGTTGCCCGCGAACTGATGGAATTCCACTCTCAGACATTCGGCATCGTGATAGGAGGCGCCAACCGCAGGCAGGAGGCTGAGAAGCTCACCAAGGGTGTGAATCTATTGATTGCAACGCCTGGGAGACTGTTGGATCATTTGCAGAACACCAAGGGCTTTGTGTTCAAGAACTTGAAAGCGCTAGTGATAGACGAGGCTGACCGTATTCTTGAGATTGGATTCGAGGATGAAATGAAACAGATAATCAAGATCTTGCCAAACGAGGACAGACAGTCTATGTTGTTTTCCGCCACTCAGACGACAAAGGTGGAGGATCTTGCGCGGATCTCCTTGAGGCCGGGTCCACTGTTCATCAACGTGGACTCCGAGAAAGAAACGTCGACCGTCGACGGGCTGGAGCAGGGCTATGTTGTGTGCGAAAGTGACAAACGCTTCCTGCTACTGTTCACCTTTCTGAAGAAGTTCCAGAATAAAAAGATAATCGTCTTCTTGTCATCGTGCAACTCCGTCAAGTACTACGCAGAACTGCTCAACTACATCGACCTACCTGTTCTGGAGCTCCATGGTAAGCAGAAGCAGCAGAAGAGAACAAATACCTTCTTCGAGTTCTGCAACGCCGAGCGCGGTATCTTGGTGTGTACTGACGTGGCCGCAAGAGGTCTAGACATCCCCGCCGTCGACTGGATCATCCAGTTCGATCCTCCAGACGACCCAAGAGACTACATCCATAGAGTCGGCCGGACGGCCAGAGGCACCAAGGGTAAAGGAAAGTCTCTGATGTTCTTGACGCCACACGAACTCGGTTTCCTGCGCTACCTCAAAGCAGCCAAGGTGCCCTTGAACGAGTACGAGTTCCCGGCAAACAAAATCGCCAACGTTCAGTCGCAGCTCGAAAAGCTCTTGAAAACCAACTACGAGCTCAACAAAATCGCCAAAGACGGCTACAGGTCCTACCTGCAGGCCTATGCATCCCACTCGCTCAAGACCGTCTACCAGATAGACAAGCTCGACCTGGTCAAGGTTGCCAAGTCCTACGGCTTCCCTGTCCCGCCAAAGGTCAATATCACCATCGGCGCCAGCGGCAAGGCTCCCGCGGCCCACAAAAAGAGAAAGCTTGCCAGGGACTGAAAGCCCTCCTACCTAGCACTGTGTATTACAATCGTATTTGCAACTGACGTGCCGCGTCGTACCCCGTCGTCACCACCCGCAGGGTCGACGCCTGCCGTCGCACCGCTGCCCGCGCTTCTGTGGCCCCTCCGCGCCAGTATATAATGGGCGCAACCTGTGCACCTTGCTGTGAGCTCGAGGCACCGACCACCCCCCCATAGCGCCGAGAAGACACCACCTTGCTAGCTTTAAAGCCGACGTGATGAATTTCTCCACATATAACGAATACTTGAAGATGAACTCCATCTTCTATGTCCTGAGATCCTTCTCTAATATCTTGATGAAGATATTGGAATTCGTACTCTGAATAAAAACATCCAAGCGCACACGGGAGACCCCAAGAAAAAAACCAAATACGCAAAAATTTCAACTGAACACTATCCTGCACATAATGACATAGCATTGCTCGAGCCACCGTGCCGAGTCCCATTCACACTTCCTTTATTCACTGACACCGAGCCGTTGGCACTGTCGTGACTGTCACATAATACGAATAACATACCATGAGTAATAATAAGGCGAAAAATTTTAGTGAAATATTGAAAAGATGAGCAGGTGACTGAGACGATCACCTGCAGCACGGTTGCATTAGCACGAGAATTATGGTGTTTGAGCTCTCGTTTGATAAGGCCAAGGACCACCCGTATGGTCTGCAGTTGGCAAATAACATAAAGCTGGCCCTGGCGCAGGTGATGGCGCCGGCAGGCAGCGCGCTGAAGGTGGGCGAGGGCGAGGGCCCCCAGCTGACCAGCAACTCAGGATTCCGGCTATTTGACGCTAACGCCATTCTCCGGTACGTTTTGAACGACTACGAGGCCTCTGGATCCGATGAAAGCCAATACGCGCAGGCCTCGCTGGAGCATATGCTCTACCGGAGTGAGATGGTTCCAGATCACGTGACCACGGCAGCGAACAAGTCGCTGGAACACTATCTGGTGTCAATGGATGAGCCGCTATCGGCAACGAGGCTCATCACCTTTGCCAACACCTATGCGCTGGATGCCGAAGCCGTGCGCGCACGGTTTACGGCGCTGCCGGCGCGTGTGGAGCAGGCGCTTGCGGCCGCGAAGCTACAGACGCCGCGGTCGCCTGCGAGCTTCAAATATACCGGAGCTGCCAATGTAAGGCCCGGATACTCTATAAAGAAACAAGAGGGTGAAATCTTGCCTCGGGATGGTGAGAGGAACGTACTAGTGACCTCTGCCCTACCGTACGTGAACAACGTCCCACATTTGGGGAACATTGTGGGAAGTGTTCTGTCTGCAGATATATATGCTCGGTACTGCAAGGCAAGAAATTATAACACGCTCTTTATCTGCGGTACTGATGAGTACGGGACTGCAACGGAGACGAAGGCGCTGGAGGAGGGAATTTCTCCGCGCGAGTTGTGCGACAAGTTCCACACCATACACGCAGACGTGTACAAGTGGTTCGAGATTGGTTTTGATTACTTTGGAAGGACGACTACTGCAGCCCAGACGGAAATTGCCCAGGATATCTTCAACAAGTTGAACAATAACGGCTATCTGGAAGAAAAGACCATGAAGCAACTGTACTGCCCGGAGCACCATGCATTCTTGGCAGACAGATATGTGGAAGGTGAATGCCCAAAATGCCAGTACGAGGATGCCCGTGGTGACCAGTGCGACAAGTGTGGCGCCCTGCTGGATCCGTTTGAACTAGTAAATCCCCGTTGTAAGCTGGACAACACTAAGCCTGAGCCGCGGACTTCCGACCACATCTTCCTCTCGTTGAACAAGCTGGAAAAAGATATTTCGCAATGGGTTGCCGAGTCCTCTGAAAAGGGTAATTGGTCAAAGAACTCCAGGACCATCACCAACTCGTGGTTGAAGGAGGGTCTTGAGCCACGTTGTATTACAAGGGACCTAGTATGGGGTACCCCGGTCCCGTTGGAGAAGTATAAGGAGAAGGTTCTGTACGTTTGGTTCGACGCAACCATCGGTTACTCTTCGATCACGGCTAACTATACAAAGGAGTGGGAGCGCTGGTGGAAGAACCCGGACAACGTGTCCTTGTACCAGTTCATGGGCAAGGACAATGTCCCATTCCATACCGTTATTTACCCAGGATCACAACTGGGAACTGGCGATAAGTGGACCATGCTTCACCATCTAAATACCACCGAGTATCTGCAGTACGAAGGTGGGAAATTCTCAAAGAGTAGGGGCGTCGGCGTTTTCGGCAACAACGCCAAGGACACCGGCATTCCTCCAGATGTGTGGAGATACTACCTAGCATCCGTCAGACCGGAGACCGGCGACTCGCAGTTCTCCTGGAAAGACATGGTTACCAAAAATAACAGCGAACTGCTTGCGAACCTCGGTAACTTTGTTAACAGATTGGTCAAGTTTGTGAACGCAAAGTACAACCGTGTGGTACCATCCTTTAACGTAGACAACCTGCCTGGCTTCAGACAACTAACCGACGATATCAACCATATCTTGGCCAACTACGTGTCTGAAATGGAGCTTGCCCGCGAGAAGCGCGGTTTAGAGCTGGCAATGGCTCTCTCTGCCCGCGGCAACCAGTTCCTACAGGAAAACAAGCTCGATAACAGCCTCTTCTCCCAGTCCCCCGACAAATCTGATGCCGTAGTGGGCGTAGGCTTGAACATCATCTATGCGGTTGCATCTGTTATTGCACCATTCATGCCGCAGACTGCTGAAACTATCAACAGAATGCTGAACGCCCCGGCTCTGGCCATCGCCGGGGAGTTCAACCTCATCATTCAAGGTGGGCACAATATTAACAAGGCCGAATATTTGTTCCAGAGAATTGATGAGAAGAAGATTGACGAATGGAGAGCAAAGTACAACGGTACTCAACAGCAATAATTCCGAATTGGATTATGAACTGTATATATTCTATTGGCTCCAGTCATTATAACTACATCGTGACAGAGATGGCTAGCTCACAATGCAAAAATTACCGTTTGTGAAAATTTTAGTTATATATATCATAATCAGAGCATCAGTTAAATAGCACGAATGAACAGACTGCCATAAACATCGTCAATGTCTGCAGAGATTATCTCCCGGGTTTTGCAGATCTATGGCGACCGTATCACGCTGACGCCCATCTCGCAGGGTGCCGAAGCCGTTATTTTCACCACAACTACACATCCGTACTTGCCC